TGATCTGTCTAGGTCCCTTCCCACTCATGGATTCTATGATTCTGTGATATATTGTGTTTTATTCTTTGGTTGAAGTTTTGTGCACCAAGGAAAGAAAAAATTAAAAACTGGCAATATGATAGGATGAACACAAAAATTATACCAGTACAATATATGAAACTATTTTTTGTAATACATTTTATATTTTGACTAGATTTCAAGTTGATTACACCTCCATGAAGTAGTATTTTAGTTACATTTTGCAAATAAGAAACAGATAAAAATGAGTAAAAAGACTTGCTCAAAACTTAATAAAACTGAGTAAAATCATGGTCTGAGCAAGGGCTAAAATTAAGACATTTCTAACTCCTACATATTTGCACTTTGTTTGTGCTGTCCATAATTTGTGCAATACTTAAATTACTAGTTTAAAATTTGATCAAATAGGTATGAAGTATCCCTTTACCCGGCCTATCTCATGGCCATCACAGGCATCTCGGCAGACCACCTCCATCAGTGCTGCACCATAGCTTTCAATAATTGCCACATTTTCTCGTTGTAGTTTACTGAATGCATCTTCGGGGGCTGTCAGACGTTCCCACATTGTCTTCTTGGCTATAAAAAGTAAAAAAAACAGAATTAAAGATGAGCAACTTGTTCATTAGTAACTGCTGCAGATACAGCAAGACAATAGCTACCTTTAATGATAGTTTATGTGTATAACTATATATGATATTTTTTGTGCGTGTGTATACCTAGATCTTGTATATCTATCTTGTACCTATCAAACATTTTGTTCTAAAATGTTTTATTCTCACCAGAACAAACAAGGGGTGTACATACTTATACATTCATCTCCCTCTCATTAAATGGTCTGGTCAGGACACATTTTAAGATAAAATGCAAATATATATTAAGTCTTTCTATTCAACCTAAAAACTTCTACTGAGATCAAAGCAATCAGCTTAAAGGGAAGTGAACAAGATGCCATCAGTGGAAAACTTAAAATCAATCAATTACAAGATACCACCCTAAGACATCCTTTCCTCTCATACAAAACATCAACTCTCTCACTAAGAGGTAGTAAAGCACTGGAACAGGTTACCAAGAGAGGCTGCGGACTCTCCATCCTCTGAAGTTTTTAAGACTTGGCTAGATAAACCCTTGCCTCAGATGATCTAAGTTGGGGAATGGTCCTGCTTTGAGCAGAGGGTTGGACTAGACCTCCTGAGGTCCTGTCCAACCTGCACTTTCTATGATTCTATGAATTATAAAGGGTCTGTAGCAATTTCACTAACACTTTCTTTATTTGTAACTCAGGGCACTGATACAATTGTTGCTATAGGAATCTGAACAACCAGGCACAAGCTCCAAGTTTGATTTCTGCTCCTGGTCCCTTACTCTGAGACCCAGTAATGGCTATGAATGTTGAAAAGGCAGTGCCTAGACAGAAGGAGTGTGACTTGCATCAAAAGCACTGCTAGCTACTTAAGAAGCAGTCTTCTCTGACTTGGCATACGAGTTCCATTCAAATTCTCTTCAGCCACAGGAACAGCACCAGTGCCAAAGAACATCAAACAGATTCCTCTAATTCCAAATATAACATGAAGAAAGTACAGAGGAGTGTAAAGTGTTTTCCAAGAGCTACTAACTATTTTAATATGGGTCCAAGGGGCCTCAAGCCCTTTGACAGTTTTAGAGTTATGGAACTACAGGTTAAATGCAGTGAATGACACTTTTTAGCATACTTTATTTATATCTAAAATCATGGCATATATCAAGGGGGGCCAAACTGTAGGCCATGAGCCACATGAAGCCCTCAGGAAGTTTAACTGTCACTTCAATAGAAAGTCATTTAATAACAAATTAGTACTTGACCTGCGGAACTACATGTAGATCACTGACCCTGGGGTATGAACATCTCATGTGACATGTAGCTCAGGCATGTATGATTTTCGTTTGCTGGCAGATGGGTTAGGAATCTGGCTATTGCTGGCACATAACAAATTTTCAGTGAATATACACAATTCACCCTGCCTCAAGATTTAACAGATTTGGAATAAGAAACAACACCAGGTTCAATACTCAATTCATCAGCCTGACCTCTATCCTGGGGAAAGTCTTGGAAAAGATTATCAAGGAGGCCATCCTTAACAGACTAGCTGAAGGCAATATCCTGAGGGATACCCAGCATGAGTTTGTTGCGGGTAGATCTTGCTTGACCAATCTCATTTTCTTTTATGACCAGGTGACTTATCACCTGGACAAAGGGGAAGAGATTGACGTCATATACCTCAACTTTAAAAACAAGCCTTCGATCTGGTATCCCACGATCACCTCTTGGTTAAACTGGCTAACTGTGGCCTTGACATCACCATGATCCACTGCGTGGGGAACTGGCTCTGTGGTACGACCCAGAGGGTGGTGGTTGACGGGAGCCAATCATCTTGGTGTGCTGTGACCAGTGGGGTCCCACAAGGCTCTGTCCTAGGGCCTAGTGTTTAACATCTACATCAGTGATGTGGACAATTGGTGTCAGAAGCAGACTGGCCAAGTTCGCCGGCAACACCAAACTCTGGGGTAAAGCATCCACACCTAAGGACAGGAGGGTGATCCAGGCGGATCTGGACAGACTCATGAAATGGGCGGACAAGAACCTTATGGTGTTCAACACTGAAAAATGCAAGGTTCTCCACCTTGGGAGGAAAAACCTGCACCATGTTTATAGACTCGGTAGTGCTACGCTGGTTAGCACTACAGATGAAAGGGACTTGGGGGTCATGGTTGACCACAAGATGAACATGAGCCTGCAATGTGATGCTGCGGCTAGTAAAGCGAGCAAAATGCTGGCTTGCATCCATAGATGCTTCTCAAGCAAATCCCGGGACGTCATTCTCCCTCTGTACTTGGCCTTGGTGAGGCCCCAGCTGGAGTACTGTCCAGTTTTGGGCTCCGCAATTCAAAAAGGATGTGGAGAAGCTTGAGAGGGTGCAGAGGAGAGCCACGCGCATGATGAGAGGTCAGGAAAAGAGACCTTATGATGAGAGGCTGAAAGCAATGGGGCTATTCAGCCTGGAAAAGCGCCGGCTCAGGGGTGATCTGGTGGTCACCTATAAGTTTATCAGGGGTGCTCATCAGGATCTGGGGAACAACTGTTCACCACAGCCCCCGAGGGATGATGAGATCGAACGGTCACAAACTCCACTGTGACCGGTTCAGGCTGGACATAAGAAAGAACTTCTTCATTGTCCAAACCCCCAAGGTTTGGAACAGACTACCACCGGAGGCAGTTCAAGCGCCCACTTTGAACGCCTTCAAAACACATTTGGATGCTTATCTTGCTGGGATCCTATGATCCCTGCCGACTTCCTGCCCCTGGGGTGGGGGGCTGGACTCAATCCTCCGGGGTCCCTTCCATCCCAAATGTCTATGAAATCTATGATCTTTTATTTTCTCAAAACACAATTATATTTTACCTGCTTCCAAGGTGTCTGGTTCATCTGGTCTCTGTGCAATCTGTAGGTAATAAAGCAGTGATCCATACAGATGTGTCCTTACTCGCTGGAACCCACCACCTGCTCACAAGGAAGAGTTCATTCTGATGAGGAACAAGTTGGTTTAATTCACATCATTAGCACCTTCTGCCCCCACACCTAATTTAGCTTTATAATACTAATACCAGTGCTGGTAGTAGCAAAAGAAATGAAAGTCTATGTTTTCTTACACCAGAGCTCTAATGCTTGTGCATAAATCAAAATTATGCTGAGAAGTTCAGCAAAGCAAAGCAAATTTCTGCCCCACAAGGGTAACCACTGCAACTGCAAAACATATAGTCATACATCCTAACACCATGTACTCAATCTCAATGGTTTTGATTTTTTGAGGAGGACCTACTACTACAAAATTGTATCTTGAGAGAAACATACTTTACAGAATAACTAGGAGCAAATTTTCACAATAAAATGGCCAGCTATTTTAATAAAGAAGTTCGATCCAATGGCGTAAAGCAGCTCAGAGTATTTATTTAGTTTTGGCTTGTTCGAATCTAGTCACATGCAGTGCAGCTGTTTTAGGCTTCAAACAACATACCTGTTTTCAAAATGAAATCCAGTAGTTTTTTTAAGATGATATGGAGGGAAGAGTCACCAATGGATGCAAACCCCAAAGACAGGCCTTCTGAACCAGGTGATGCAGAAAATGAGCCATCCAACATCAAGACATATTGGGAGTGGCCAGGTAAAGGGACTGCAAGTGGCTGTTTTTGCTCTGTTCTCACGGACTGGCTCAGATGGGCAGTAAGAGTGAACACAGCCCCTGCCACTACTGGCATCAGCTCCTGAGCTGCATCATCATCCAGGATCTAAAAATGGATAAAAAAGGGCATGTTCTATACTACTTGTTCAGTCTCCCATATCTACATGATCTCTGCAGGTAAAAGGAATTCATTTTAACTCTAGATTATTTGATTTCTCCATTTAAAAAGTTAGAAATAAAACACTTCTGATACAGAATAAATCAATACTCGTTGTACTGTGTTATCCTTTCCCAGAAGGACTGTTATTCGAAGTGCATCGATACATCAGTCCCATATCGGTTTGGCACTCATATAAGGAAAATTGATGGTATTGGTAAGCAGCTTTTTTTGGCTAATGTGGCTGATAAATGCCCCGTGTGTGCACACAGCCGCAGCATGCGTGTGGCCAGGGGCACAGACTGGCAGCTTGGAGAACGGCATCTGGCTGGTAAGTCTGTTGTGG